ACTTCCCGTGTCTTCGTTACCGGTTACTGCTTACACAGCAAAACATCCATCCAAATGAAAGTCTCGTCCTCTCCGCACTTCCTGGTTCTATCATTCTATGGTCACGCCATCCAAAAATTTGCAATCCATATTGTGAGACGTGAGCTCCGTATACAATTAAGGGCTCGACACACGGGAGGCGACATTGCATCGCCTCCATTCATTTTCAATGGGATGTGCGCGACATAGCGTCAATCGCTAGCGAGCCTCCTGCTCAGCGACGGGCGAAAAACGTGCGTGTGAAATCCTCCCGCTCGTGCATGTATCGTGCACGCGCAGGTCAGCGACGCGATCCCAGAAAGTTGAAATCGGCTCAACTTTTCGACGCTGTCGTCAAGCCGCATCGCGCCCCGTCTGTCATGTTATCTGAGCGACAGCGTTGAGTTTCGCTGATCGCTCTCATTTGTCGCCTCCCGTGTGTCGAGCCCTTTAGCATGTGAGCACAGGCTGGGGGGGAAGGGGGTAGTGGGGGGCGAAAGCTCTGTGGGAGCGGGGAGGGCGAGCAAAAAGAGCGAGCCCAGCACTCACATTCGAAAATTTCTCAAAGTCAGTTAGTGCAGCTTTAAACATGTATTATTTAATCAAATTCAACTCTAACAATGTTATAAAATTGCTTGTCACAACTAAATTTCTAAAGAACCGTAAATCTTCATTTCACCATTTCTGTGAATCTTAAAAACTCATGTGTTAGTGACTTACAGCGGTTATCATTTACTGTATACATTCATAATGTTGCTTTTGGTTTGTTGAAGTCAAGCTGGGATTTAGTGTCTGTCTTGAGATTTTGTATCAAATTGACCTACAAACTGACCTAGAAAGCGTACATTGAGTCAGCTGTCACACAAGTGTTGCTACCCACTTCTGTTTTGCCCCAGTGCATTGGTCAAATGAGGATAACTGTATTCTAAGAAACAAGTGGGAAGTTGGATTTTTGTGTTGGCAGATGTTGTTCTTAAGCTGCGTGTGTGGAGCAGTGTCTTCTGAGACTCACAGCGACTGCAGCAGATTTGAAACAGTGGCAGCCTCAGGATTACACTGGCTTATATCCTCTGACCCTCCCAGCGCTCACACACCACCACAGGCCTCCCATGTGTTTCTTTGAAATTTCTTATCTGTAAATAAAATAACTCCTCATTTTTATCCTTACCCCTTCTGTCCCTTTTCACTTTCTTAGTTCCTTAAATTCATTAAAATTTAGAATGCTCTTGTTTTTTGTGTGCAGCAGACAGCTTTGTTTTGCTTCCTCTCGACATAGGGAATCATAAGGAGATTCCTCTCACAGCATTTCGCCGTAATCATGCGGCTATGTGTCATCAGCTCACCATTGTGACAGCAGATTTTAATTACTTCCGCAGCCTTCCCTGCCCATTGGAGACTTTGCTCCAAACTTTCTCTCTCCTAACTTTGCCCGACTTTGACTGTTTATGTTCTGATCGTGCCGTGGGAGGGAGTCTCTGAACCCTTCTGTGGAGCTCTGTCACTTCAGGATGACACTGCTGTCACTTTTCCACATTCCTGAAAGCGGGAGATAGGCCACTTACTGCGCACTCGTGTTTGAACCCTACATTGCTGTATTTCTTCCAATTCTCTCTCAAAGACTTGTCTAACTGCATCTCAAACTGTGCCAGGCCACATGAAATGTTAATAATCATTTTGGCGGTGCTAGTTCTAACTCTTTCTTAGGTCAGGGATGCTTCCCTCTTTTCTGCACTGCAATGATCCCATGTCAAGAAGCTGCAGGTTGGAAAAATAATTAGGCCTTGAAATGCCTGCATTCTCCTCCTGCTGCTGTGATAAATGGTGACATGTTGTATTTACAACCCTAAAAGGTGCTGACACCTTTAAATTCTGCACAACTTGGACAAATCCCAAAACAGTGCTTCGTGTGAGAAGGGGCACAGAGGCTGCAGTAGGAGTGAGTGAGGTGCATGATGGACTAGACTGGGGACTGCACTATAGCCAAAGGTCAGTCTGTCAAAGGCTCATATCATACTATCTGGCCCATACTGTCATCTCAAATGACTTAAAAATATCACGGATTTTTAATAGAAATGTTTACATTACTCTTCTAGTTAAAATAAATAACAGGATTAACCAGCTCGTATTTCTTGTAAGACTGAAATAAATCAGGCAGCTCCAAACCAATGCTCTCGTAAAGTAAAAAACTTTAGCTCTCTGTTCAGCATTACTTGGCCGTAGCGAACATTAGGTTAGCAAAGTGGGCTAAAGTTGCATGCGATTAGGCTGTCAACATCTGAAAATAATGAGCTGCAGACAGACCCACATTGGCATGCAAAAACTGTACTGACATTTAAAGCTGGCTTAACATAAATGAGAAAAGAAAACTGATCGAAGGGGAGCTTTGGTCTTCACTGCAGTGCTTTCTGCTACAGGGAGTATAATGCACAAGGTTCTAACACTATTGCTTTGAATCAGACTTTATGGACAGATAGGGCAGAGGGTCGATTAAGTTCTGGAGGGGACGTGGTGCTGATCCTATAAAAGGGCATGAGGAGATGTATCGCTTCTTACAACATCATTTCAAGCACTTAATGGAGCACTGGAATTAATGGCTGTCAGTGCTGAGTCAATTATATAGATGTTTGCATAGCATATTGTTTATAATTCATAGTTCCACTGACGGCAAACAGCCTCTCTGCTTTTGTTTTGAATGTAGTCTGAGAGTTTATTGACCAGAATGTGAGGTGTGGAATAAGTCTTAATAGAAACGCATTGTCATTGTCTGTTATTGTGGAGCATAACAGTTCTAACGATGACATAGAGCCTTAATTTGTATTAATGCCCAATAATTTTGTGTTGCAATGGCTGTATGCAATTGTGCTATCGAGCAAACGAATTGGATTCATTAAAGACTGGGTTGCTGCTTAGATTTATTTTGGCCTCACGGTTTCAGGTCAACGAGTAATGTGACGAGATGGAGAGGGTTTTGGACAGGGGGGACGGGGGGTAGGCCCGGTCGGAGATTGAGGAGCGAGAACAAGCCTCCCTCCTCCCCCGACAGAAATGCATCCCTCACTTTGACACGCTCCCCTCCACAGCCCAAAACACTGCGCTTTAACCGCAGCAACAGAGACACATGACGGACACGGGACGACTGTGGGGCAGAGTAGAGATGGCTGCAGGGCATTTGATCACTTGCTCATCAGTCAGACCCTTTGTCTTATCCTGTCTCTTTTGATGCATGAACAATGTGTATTTGTTTTACATGCACTAATAAACACGCAGCGCTGTACACACGTTGCACGCATTAGGGTTGTAACTAGGGATTCTTTGGATGATCAATTCATCTGGCAGTTATTCTTTTGTTAAAAACAAGACATTGACACATTTCATGATTTATATCTAATGTAGTTACTGCTTTGTTTGTCTGAAAATTGCATCTTTCAGTGCATACGTGTTGTAGTTTGTATGTTGAGGAGATTTTTGTTCATACATAACAAAAAACGCTGTTGATTATTGCAGGAACTCTATTAGTTTAAGTCCTAATATTACATGAGATTTGCATGATTTAGCTTCTACAGTTTATAACAAAATTGGTGATGGCAACCTCCTGAACAAAATTAATGTCATTAATTCACAAAAAATATCTGATTTCTATTTACTTAACCTAGCATTAAAATGAACTCTCCTTTTATTCTTTTTCATATGTTCTTATTCTATTCTTTCATTTTTGTCATCCTTCCATATTCATATTCTAGTCAACTTTGCAATGTCATTTGCCACTATGTCAGGTCATTACAGGAGTGATGTATTATCCAAGTCAAACTTTACTTTTAAGTAAATCCAGCTGGGACATTTGTAATTTGAGGCCAATTGCCCCAAATTTAATAATTTTCCCATGTGTCTCCCAGTTGACACTATAAGCACATTGGCAATAGTACTATCTTGGTGGGAGGCTTTACTTCCTGCTTAACTTGTGACCACAGAACAGTTTTGGCATTTATAGCTCAGTAAATCATGGCGTTGTTTGATGTGCAAGCTGTGTGCTATACAAGAGGCAACACCAGCCAACCGCTCATTTTCAATACACTAATTTTACTGCTGTACCACAGCACATATGAAGCACAATTGTGTTCAAAAGTTGAACATTTATTGTGCGTTGTGTACTTAAATAAAGCAATCAATAATGTTGCCTTTTTAAGACTGCGCCTCATGACTAACAAGTAATGTGAGATGGGATTGGAAACATTTAAAATTGCCATGCACTGTTTCGAAAGGTCATTGCTGTTATTCAAAGCAAGCACTTTGCACAAGTGATTCAGGAATTGTGCTTATATCCATTTAGCATATTTTCAGGGATATTAGAACAGTGTTGAGTCTGAATCCAAAAATGGAGTTATACGTGAGTACTTTTTTTCTTGGCTTTACCAGCATTGCCCTTTTCACATGTCAAAAGATATGCACCACACATTTTCTCAGTTAATGCATAATGCCTGGTAGTAGAAACAACATTGCTAGCTTGAAAGCCTCACTAGGAGCCTTCTCTGCTGATCATGCTGGTCAAATCATGTTCACCTTTTGAGAACCTTGCACCCAATCTGACCCGACCCCTCCGACCTGAAATCACTCACACAGTCGCTGTCCTTTTCTTGATCGCACTAATGGTGCTGACAGAAAACAAGCAGACCCAACTGCTGCCTGGGCTGGGGTCATCCAGGGGTGTTTGATATTAGTGTCTATAGGAATGCAAATTTGACCTAGAGTTACAATGGTTGGAACAGCGGCCGGGACGGACACCGCAGCTGCCCCATTACTCTAATCTACAGGTTACATAAAGGGTAAAATAATTAGTCATTGTTTGTCGTTTTAAAGACAAATGCATGTGCCATCTTGTGCACAAGTAAGGTTTGCACGAATAAAGGGAAAATGTGAGTGCAATCAAGTGACTGTTTAAAAGGGGCCAGGGTTAAAAGGCCAGGAGGCACTATGGAGGTCATTCATCAGGTCAGCAGAAGGTTCATCAACACATCAGTGTTGTACCTGAAGTGGACCAAAGACAAAAGCTCTGTAGTGTTTTACTTAAGTCAAAACAATAGTAATTGATTTTAATTATTTAAAACATGTTTTTGTCCTTTGTATTCTTTGAATACAGAAAGATGTTTTATAACCTCAAACCCAATTGTTTTATTCCTAAGTCGCTATTTGAAGTGCTTCTGGTCTTATGGTTAAAACATTGATTTACTGTAACTTCTGTTATTGTGTTCCATTAAACATTACTTGAGGGTGCTAATAGAAAACTTTTTCAAGCTATTTTTTTTAGAAAAATAACTTTAATCAATCAAGATAAATCAGTATATTTTTAGTCTACCGGGCAAGGTTAGTGTATACTTAAAATGTTGATCACTTTCAGCATCTTCTCCTCTTACTGTAATTAAAGCTTTGGCTGCTGAGCAGTGATTAGGGTCATGATGATATGTTTTTGCGACAAAGTAAAAGCACTTAAGAGTTCAGTCAATATTTGTAAAAAAAAATAGCTAAATAGTCTGTTTTAGGGAAGACTTTGCATTTGATGAACATCACACTGGCCTCTTTCACTTTTTGCACACATTTTCTGCTCCTATGCACGGGTGAGCTGCTACTGTCATTAGCATGCAGCCTAGAGCGGACACAGTGTCTGTCCTCTATCGGGACGGGCATCCCCAGCAGGGTGTGCCCTGCCACCCTCCATATGGTGAGCCGTCATTAGTTTACTGCTGTTCTGCTGCATGGTAGGTTCATCAAACCCTAGAGCCCAATCTCACCAAAGCCTTAATTCTCCTCTGCTTTGCTTCTCTCTCTCTCTGGGCCTATTGGTAAAGTCACATGTGGCATCACGACATGAAAGAACTGCAGCCTTGAGCAGATGTTGCACTACAGGCCACAGGGAGCACAGAACTAACTTGAGAAACAAAGTGCATCTTTAGCGGCAGCTGGACAATTTTAGAACAATAGTTGATAAAGGACACTATATTTCAAATGCAACATTTGTAGTCATGATAGCCCCATGTGGTAATCTGTACTGTCTCTACATGTCAATCCAAGTGAAGTCAAATGTTTTATACTTTTTATTTTGTAAGATGACCAATATTTTCATATTCAAGTGTGTATGAAAAAGTCACGGTTTTATTAAAAAGCTAAATACAATAAGCATTGGATCAAGGCACATACAAGACTGGCCAAAGGGCATACAATGCACTTTGGTATTTAATCGTAAATAACAGTTAACTTCAAATTGTGGCAACAAAATGTGTTCAATTGAAAAATAATAAAAAATAATAATACTCATCAAACCAAGAAGTTGCTGACATTGTGAAAATTGTATTAAATGTCAATGTGTCTGCTCTTTTGGCTGCTGACTACAATGACGTATGGTACATGGTACTAAAGAATGTCGCATTGTCAGTGGGCCTTTGTTGGCTTGAATAAATGGTGTGGAGGGTCTGTGACCACCTGCCCAGTCTTCTGGTTACGGTCGTGTGCTTAAACATGTCCTGTGCTGTGACTGTAGTCCAACAGAAGCACATGACCTGGGGTCACTTGGCTGAATTTCTTTCTTTGCAACAGAGATAATCTACACAGAGAAGAAAGCAAAGAAATAAAGCATGGCACCTCATTTTAAGTGTTTGTACCCTCCAGGTAAATCAGGCCTAGAAGTACAGAGACTGCTACGGCTGATCGCTCTGGGGTAGCATGCCTAAGTGAATTCAATCAGGTGTGCCTTAGTTTAGGTAACTGTTTCCCTTTTGTTTTTAGACAGCCAAAAACTTAAAAGAATGACCTGTGCTTATACTACACGGTTTTCTAGAGTCTGATTGTTCACCACAGCAATGAAAACCCACGTTCACAGTTGACAAGTCATATCTCAGTAGAATACAGAGTTTCTTTAAGTTGGTTTATCCTTAAACAAAGTAAGTACAGTACAAATTACTACAAATTCCTAAAATATAGAATTGCAGTTAGTTACAACACCCATTGTTCAGCATTCGCCTGAAACTTGAGCCTTCTCATTCGTCATAAATTGTCCTTAAATATAAATTATATGGCAAATGTACATTTCTAGTTTTATATATCCAGTGTTGTGTAAAAGTCTCTCCACGCATGAGCAGTGTCCATGTTCAAATATCATGAATGGGAATGGTCTGAATCTGGTATTCCACTGTCTCTGTAGCTTCGGTTAATACTGTTCTCACTGTGTGGACTTTTGTATAAACTCAGGCCGTTTGGTGGGAAAATAGTGTGTATCATAAATTCTTCCTTAGTCACTGGTAAGTGACTAATAGGAATCATCTGAAAAGATGTCTCTCGTATTTCTAGAATGGAAGTATCTTTTTTGGTGCCGGCCTCAGCATAGTCATCCTTTCTCCTGCGGCCTTTGTTATAAGTGCAGTTTCTTGAGAAGAGAGATCCGTTTCTGTGAACATACCAGCACACCAAAGCCAACATTATTATTGCCAAAAGAGCCACGGCTCCCCCAATAATAGCAGCCAAAGGCAGACTGGAATTTTTGTAAGGCTCTTTCTCCTGCTCCCTGTTTAAAGTGGTTGTGGGATTGTAGGATTTGTGATATCCGCTCGCTGTTTCTATGCAAACGGGGGTCTCGTCTGACAGGTAGATGTTACTGGTCTCCATGGGAACCATGCATATCCTGTAGGAAGACTCTGGCTCCAGCCCAGTGAGCAGGTATTCAGTCCTCTCGCCCTGCACAATGGTCTCTGTTATGGAGCCAAAAGGCGGGCTGTGCCCCAGCTTGAACCAGCTGAGTCGGAGTGCAGTCACAGGCTGCGACAGCCTCCATAATATGTGAATGGTATCAGTAGTGCTGGATTTAACACTGATGGTGATAATCTTTCTGCCTGTAGTTGTCGTGCTGTAATAGTTTCTCCCAAAGTCTTTCCGTTCAGGTTTCCGAGTGACAAAAGATGGCCTCTGTGGCTGTGAGGGCCTGGGGGTGTTGGAGACAGTACTTGTTTCAAATGTTGAGAGTATTTCTGAATCCGAACATTCAAACATGTCTGTGGTAAGGTCTTTGATGGCCATGCCTTTTACTTTATCTGGTCCATTGCACATGAGGCCTCGTACATTCACTTTGGTTGGCAGCGATCGGAGCCAATCGCGAACCCACATCATTTTGCAGTTGCACTGCCAGGGGTTGTTTCTAAGCAAGAGCTGGGTCAGATTGTCCAGGTCTTCAAACACTCCTTGTGGGAGGCTGCTTAGGTTGTTACCGGACAGGTCCAGGCGATAGAGCTGCCTTAGGAAGGCGAAGGCTCCAGGTGGGACAACTTTGATGTGATTATCCTGTAGCTGCAGCTTCTCCAGACTGGTGCCCGGTAAGTTAGCAGGGGGTGCTGTGAGTGAGTTCCTCATTAAGGAGAGCTCCGTCAGGTTGATAAGATTGACAAAGGCCAGCTCCTGAATCCCACGGTTGTTAAGTAGGTTTCCGTCCAGCACCAGTCGTTTAAGGTTGATGAGGTCCTGTAACTGCTCTGAAATGGAGGAGATGCGGTTGTCATCAAAGCGCAACTCTTCAATGCTCATAGGAAGACCTGAAGGGATGGTGCTCAGGTGGTTTCTGGAGAGGAACAGCAATCTGAGATGATTACTGTCTCTAAAGGCACCCTCCTCAATACTGACCGCTGATACAGAGTTGTCATCCAAGTGCAGTTCCTCAATATAGGGAATCTGGGCCAAGGATGAATGCGTAATCATGCGAATGTTGTTCTCCTGTAGGTGGAGCTCTTTAACCCCCAGAGGAAGGTTAGTGGGGAATTCGTCAAGATTGTTGCAATAAAGATAGATCTTTTCCACGTTGGACAGCCTGTTTAGATCTTTTGGGATTCCTGAACTCTTAATTCGGTTGTTTTGCAGAAAAAGTATTGTTGCGTCCTGGGGTAAGCCAGAGGGGATGGACGTCAGGCCACGGTCATTACAGTAGATGAAAGTCCCATCACAGCGGCATGCAGAGGGACACGATGCAGAGGTCACCAGGGGGTTAGCGAGGCCCAACAGCAGCCCCATCCTGATGAGGAACAGGACAAAGGCCGCACATTGACGCACCATCTTGAACCTGTGCTTTTTGGCAGGTCTATCACTCAGGAGCCCCTGGGGAAAAGAGACAAAAATACATTTAATGCACAGCCATTATAGGGTAGCCAAAATCCTGTTCTCTTAATAGCTGGGGGTTTGAAATACTGCCTTTTGCAATGAGAAAAAGTTCATATAACTGCCATAAAAAATTTATTTCTGTCTATTGAACATGGTTTAGAAATATTTCATCAGAGATATAAGACACAGATATTCAATGACAATAACTCATTTATCTGCTTACAAGTGGAAGGAAATGGACTGTATATGGAAAGGATTTTTCAGAAATGACCATCAAAGTAAATAAGTTATATGATGTAGTGGTGTTTTAATATGCATTTGTGCTAAACTGCTCTTCAGCCTTGACATGTGAAATGCAATAACCGCCTCTGGTTTTACACGATTCTGAATCTCAAGGCTGCCTTTCATCGCTGCTGACCACAAGTCTCTGAACAAAGTCGGGCATTGTTTCTGAACTGCAGAAGTGAGTCTAACACAGTTCTCTTGGATTATTACCTGTCTCTCACTGTTCACAATGCACAAAGCATGCAAGTGACTCACAAAACCTATTTTATAACATTACAGATGTATTTCATATTTATTACTCGTTATAGGTGTTGTGTGTTTGATCATGTATTTTAGCATTTGCTTCCATCTTTACGTCTTCATTTTCATTGTTTTGCCTTCTATTCCTATCATAACATCTTCTTGCATGTGCGACCTAACACAATAGAAAGCTGGCATTTATCATACCTCCTTTGCAGAGTTGTAATTCCTTTTCCGTCAAAGGCTCCTTGATTTGGCCTTGCCCTTTTCGTTGGAGAAGTTTGTCGGCCGCTTCAGTGATATCCTGCCCTGCTCGGTGTTTGCAGAGCTGATCCTTGTTTGGACAATGACCTCTTTTTTGTTGTCAGAGGCTCATGCTCTCAGTGGCTTTACCATGGCAGATAAGCCCCCCAAAAAAGCATCCAGTCACCGCCACTCTGCATGCAACTTCAAGTATCTTTAAAAAAATCCAAAACGCCTGTTGAAAATCACCATGTTTTCCGAGCCATAATTGCAAATGAGTTTTTCTGAAGTGTTGAAAAGGGATCCGTGTGTCGGCCTAGCACATACAAACTCCTCTTTGTAATCAGGCCCAGTAGGCATGACGAGGTAACATAAAGCTGCACCGAGCCATGCCAAGCCAAGTCTGCCACAAGCTCAATCCAGGCGCAATCACTTGTGTACTCCAGGTATCCCAGAATCCTCTCCCCCTCCTGGACATATATACATTAATCCAGAGCTGCAGTCTCGTTCCCCAACTCGAGCAGATAAGTTCGGTCCTCCTTCTCTACGAGGCAGCGTGCTTATCACTCACAAGCCCGACTCTCCTCATAGATTTGCAGTGGGGCTCATCTTGCATTTTTTCATACCTGCCAAAACAGATGAGAAATATTTAAAACATGCCCACAGAATCACAACACATTCAAATAACACAAGTTTGCATGCAGGGTAAATGTTATTTCTGCTCGGATAATGCCTCGATGGGAAACCTAACCTTTCGTCTAAATGATTATTAAGACTGACCTTTATTTTCCTGTTACTCCAAACAATACATTTATTTATTGTTTTGGATAGAGCCGTGCACAAGCTAAGACAATGGGCCATGGGTGGAAACCATTCTTGGGCATTGTTTTTTAATTTGTTCTTAATTATTATATTTATTTATTTTGCAATTTAAGGGTTCCCATGCCCAAGTTACATCATTTGAGTCACTCGTCTTTGTCCACCCAAACCTTTAACCCATTTCTATTCTTTGATGGACGTTTGAGTCAAAAATAGCATTTCCCTAAAGCCAAAGAAAATATTATGGTTCCTTCAACACAATGGCCCAGGGACCGAACATGTTGCAAGCTACCAAGAGTTATAAAATGGAGACAATGGTGCTAACTTAAGGTGAGCAATACATCAAAAACTATGCATAATATTGCAAGAGAATATTCAAAAGTTATAATATATTTTGTAATAGAAAATGCATGTATTTATTTAAAAAACACAAGAAGTTGCTTGCATTTTTCTGATAGTTGAACCAAAAACCAAATCCTTTTGTTATCTGGGTACTCAAATTGTAGTCAATATATGTCCCCTTATGTCCACAAGAAGGTTAGGGAATTGGGAGCCTCATAACTCAATTACAGCTTCTGAAATGTCAGCTAATAGTAACCTTCCCTATTCTATACCCTCAAACTAAACACGGCCCATATTATATTAAGAGTAGATTAGAAATGGACAAAAAGACACCAGCTGTGACCTCTGCTTAAGCCTACGAGGAGCACACAGTTTTAGAAATGTACTGGACAATGGACGTTGTAGCAAATATATTATGCTGCATAAACTTATGAACCAATTCTTTAATTTTGTTTTCATATGTATTTATATAGGCTATATGAAAAACATCAGTTGCCACAAGTTTCAAATGCATATTTGCTTTATTTTCTTTTTTCCACGGTCATCGGATTACACAAGTATGCTGCCTTCTCAATTTTCTAATGCAAGCCAAGCGAGTGTAGCCAAGTGTGGTGTAGAAGCTAAAGTAGCCAATACATTTTACTGTAGACATTTTAAATTGCTTCGACTGTAAATGAAGGATACCAGCTATTGGCACTAGTCTCTGTCTTTCCAATGTGCTACTCTGCCTCGCTGGATGTTTCCCAGCAGCCAGACTTCCTTCTGCTTCATTTACTTTTTACTAGCCAAGTTAAATTGAGCAGCTCGCTAAATGGTGTGTGTGTAGAGCTAGTTACCTTTCACTGACAAAACTGGACAATGGCTATTATGGGCCTAACATGCAAACATGAGTACTAGCTTCCCAGAACAGGGTTTGAATCTGTTCTCTTCTGGACATACACTGAACAAGAAATGGTTTGGGATTAAACTCTAACAGAATAAATGCATGCCTGTATGTATGATTTCATCCCAGTAACATTTATACTTAACTTTACAAGAGTAGCGTTTAAGGTGAAAGAGCTAGAGAAGTAGTAATGACTGACTGTTGCATTATTCATAAGGCTAGAAATTAATTTTTGAACCACTGCAGATCCCCACTGGGAAATCAATGTTGTTTGTATCTCCTGTTGATTATTCACCCTAATTTATAATGTAGCTTTAAAATGATTATTCATTAGACACAATTTTGTATTTTAGCACTGACATTTAGGTGACATTTTCCCAGGTTTGTCTTCATGTTTTTGCAAGGGAATATTAAAGCAATTGCAAAACGAAGCAACACGATTAAGCTCACAAAATTGTAATGGAAACTATTCTCTTGGTTAATCCTTGTTATGAGTCTCTTGCTGAACTTTCTCCTCTGCTGATTAGCATACAGTGTGAGTGAGTTGTATGTCATCTCAGCAGACAGAGGCCTGCTGTGATACCAAGACACAAAAGGACATTCATCTGGATCCACAGGGAAACAAGAACACTCCAAAATGGGCCAAAATCTGCCCCTTCGCTCCTCAGATTTGGTATGAGCCCTCCTGGTGCCGTCTTTTGCATGGACTGAACAGATGATAGTTTTAGCAGGCCCATTAGGGAGAGCAGCGTGCAGGGGCCTGGGACAGACTGGGGTGCTTCTTTTGTATACACTACACTGAAAAGAGAGCTCCTGAGCAGCTGCGATGGTTTTTGCCCACATGGGGGAGGTAGGCGCTGCAAGATGAAATGTTGTGTGCCTGCGTGTGACAAGCAGCTCCAAAACACTGGGTTCTGGTGGGTTTACGTGCAAAAGCCTGGATCTCATTCTGAGGGGGATTTGTCAAGCAGCCCTTTGGCACGATTATCCTAAGTCCTGTTGCTTTGACTGACACTGCTTATGATTTACTCTCACACTTTTTACAACAATGTTAATAGATGCTGTGTACTTTTACTGTCCATTCAACTGTAAAATGTGTTGTTTCAATCCAAATCTCATGTATTTATTCTATTTACATCGCTTCAGTAATTGTATCTTATGGTCTACAATAGCTAAAACCAACTGGATAATAATGACTACAAAAGGATGTGTGAAAAGCACCAGATTTACGTCTGTGCCCTGAGGCACCTATCAGGGAGGACAATTGGATGTGTTTTCATGTCTGCCTTGTCTCTAACAATAAAGGCCATCTCGACTTTGAATCCCTATTTAAATTAGGCTTTTCACAGAATGCGTATGTGGTCAATATGTTTTAACGTGTAAAGCCTGTCGACCTTCTAGTCACTGAGACATAAGGTTATGTTAAATGGGATTAAAACGGCCCGTGCCCTGCCCTTGCCAATAAGATAAACAAGCAAAGCAGCATTAACTTTATTGCTTTATAGCGTTGCATTAATGGGATTAATGCCTGGACTTTTCTCCTCCAGGCTAACACGATTTATCAGCACGTAGTGGCATTAAAGTGAGCATAGGCTGTGCGCACACGGTTTCATCTTTCTGCATTGCTCCTGATGTGAGCTGCTACGCGGTGTGCATTAATCCACAATGCACTTATAAGGAGTTGGCGCCTATAGAAAACCAAATATTGTACTTTACGCGTATACGGACTCTGATTGTAACGGGCTGTGACCCAGTGTACTTTGTCCTACAGTCGTGTTTGGGATACTTATGTAAATAATTGTCGGTGAAATGTGAAAGCGATGGGAACTTGAGCTTATGCCGCAGAGCCTGCAAGTGCAGCTGCCTTCATGTCCAGCTCTGCGGGATGTGCGCTTCACATGCACCGGGGACTGGAGCCTTAGTTAATCCTATCAACCTTTTACACATTTGTTTCGGTTTTTTTGACAACTGGGAACGAATGTGCAGTTATATGCTTATTTTATTATTATGAAAATATTGTTGATGTTCTTTGTTCGTATTTAGACATACATTGTCTTCATCTTCATGTTGAATATTGATAAGACATATAAATGCACGCAGCAATTGCAAACGGAGACTATGCTCAAATAGACGCGTGATGCAA